GCATGTGGTGCTGGGGGATTGAACCGTGGTCCCTGTGCTTTGCTTGGCTTAGCTTGTTCTAAGTAGGTGCTTTAGACCACTGAGCCATCTCACCAGCCCTAAAGTTAGTTTTAAGTTGAGTGTTAAGTTTAAGTGTTAGGATGAGGGCTAGGGTTAGGTTAAATTTAGTGTTAGATTTATGTCCTTTGTGAGGCATAGTGATTTCACTAGCTTTAGGGTTAGTGTAGGGTTTGTGTAACTCCTTTTGTTTGTGTAGGGCATCATCATTGTGCACAAAGTCTCTGAAATGGGTAATTGATGCTCGTAAGAGAGGGGAGACACTGGGGCCATATCACTTGCATAGAACAGATGCCACCCCACCCTCTGCCTTGTCAGGAATGCTGAGCTTCTTTACAGTACCAAATTTTGACTTTCTGTACATAGGTCTAGTAGGAACTTTGTGCTAACTGCAACTCAGGCCTGACCATATGGTATAGATTCCTTTGCTCTAGGGAGCTGTAGATCAGGATTTTAAAGCAATCAGATCTTCTTTGGGCATGGAGAGATTGTCTGGGGCAATCCTACCCATTTCTGAGAGGAAACAGGCCCAAGCTGGAGACAGGGCCTACAAGATTACCTTGTAAGGGCAGGACTCTAACCACATCCCTTCTGTCATCACCCATTGGCTCTTATTCACTCAAGATCCTTATTCTGATCCCTCCAGCCTGGGCTTTGATCTCCATTTCTGATCTCCTTGTGCGGCTGCACAGCAGGGAAAAAAGTAGAGCACAGATCATGGTTCTTTGCACAGCCCCACCATGTATAGAAAAAAATCTAATACTTGAACACTACATCAATGCCATTACACTCCTGTATTTTACTCTCATGTATTTTACTAACAATGCTGACCCAGGTAATTGCTTAGAACACCAGCTAAACAACAGAAAACATTTATATAATCACAAGAGTTAGGGTTAGGGGTTAGACTTAGGGGGCTAGGTTTAGGGTATTTAGGGTTAGGGGTAAAGGTTTGTGTTAGAGGGTAGAGTTAGGGATTAGAGTGAGGGTTTAGGGTTAGGGTTAGGATTAGGTTTTAGGGTTATGGTTAGGGTTTTTACCATTGAGAACCCTGACAATTCTATCTTAACATTATCTTCCTGCCCAGATTGCTGAGTACTTGTATAACACGTGTTTGTTGTCACACCCAGCCTGTACGGTTGTTATCTAATTAGAAGGGCTTCAAATTATAATCTATTTGCTGTTGCTTTCTCAGCATTATTTGTATAATGGGAATATTAAGTCCTTTCTGGAATACTGAGATCAATATATGTTTGATACTGTACGAGCTATGTTAAAAGCGGAGTGCAGGAGCAGGTTGTGTAGCTGAGATGTAAGTTTCTTACCTAGTACTTACAAATTCCTAGGTTCAATCACCATTACCATAAGAAAAAGAAACAATAGTGAAATATGCAAACCTTTCATTGCTGTACTCTGGAAGCTTAGGTGGCAGCATAACCTCAAGTTCAAGGTCAACCTTGATGACAAAACTAGTTCATAGGGGCTGGTGAGATGGCTCAGTGGTCTAAAGCACCTACTTAGAACAAGCTTACCAAACACAGGGACCATGGTTCAATCCCCCAGCACCACATGCCAGCCAGCCCCGCCCCCTGGTGGGCTGAGCTGGCCACACACACACACACACACACACA